CATAGCTATGGGAGGAAAGATAAAGATAATTAATCTCATCCCTAAATGATCTTTTTTGGATCCCGTTAAGGTGGAAAGAGCTAGGAAAGATGTGTCTCGCCTCACTTCACTGCTGAGCAAGTCCAAACTTGTTTTGTGCCGGCAAAGCTTCCTTCCAGAAAGTTTGAAGCCTCGCAGTTCAAAAACTCAGGACAGGTTTGACATCCACACGATTTTCTGCAGGACAAGACCCCCTGATCTGACACCGACCAAAAGCCCTGGCCTTCCCCCCGTGTCTTCCGCCAGCCTCCCTGGCGGCGCACGTTGCCCGCGTTGAAGGACTTCACCGGGAAGCCGCCCCACCTCACCCGAGCGCCCGGATCCCCGCGCGGTATGCACGGACGCGTTCGCGCGGGAACTGCCGAAATGCGAACGCGGCAGCTGCATGCTGAGGGGTCAACATTTATGGAAAGGATTAATCAACCGTCCCAGAATTCGGGGGGTGGGGGCCCTCCAAAAGTGGTCTGACTCCTCACCGAAAGGGGGACAACCCCCCTATGAACCAACCAGGGGGTTTATTCATCCGGGGTTAACATTGCAGCGGGTCGCCGTCTTCGGGCCCCAGCTCGGGCCGTTGTTGGCCGTCGGCCCCTCGCGCTTCCCCGAGCTCTGAGGCTCCGGCGAAAGGTAGCGCATGAGCATTTTCCTTGGGTCTCGAGATGGCTGGGGGTCAAAACTAAGTGCCCACTATGGAATCCCGGAAAATGGACACATGGACCAACACCTGCGGTTTTGCTGGTGGCTTAATTTTGACCCATACCCAAATGTATCTTTGCTACCTGTCCAGCATCGATCAGGCCCATAGGCGATGGGAAGGACGCGATGCTTAATAACATGTTGCAATGGTCTGCGATGACATTTTCCCCCGGATTGTTCGGATTCGTTTGAGTTTTTCTATTCGTTTTTCGTCCGGGCCGGCAAAATGTCGTATTTTACAGCATTTTCTCGCGAAATTGACACATTTTACCCGTCAACATCCCCCGCATGTCCGACAAACATCCCTAGCATCACCAACAAATCGCGAGTAACAAAATCAAAAAAGTAGCTGGCGGGTTGCCGGGGTCAACAAAATGATGATTCAAATAGGAGGGCAATTCAATTCCTGTAAACAAAAGCTAAAAAGTAGCGGGGGGGTTGGCGGCAGCCCCCCCCATGATGTTCGCAGAAATGATGATTAGAATAAGGGTGCAATTAAATCTCTGCAAGAAGTCTAAAAAGTAGCGGGGGTTGGGGGGGCGGCAGCCCCCCCATGATGTTCGAAGAAGTGATGATTCAAGTAGGGGTGCAATGATTCAAGAAAGGGTGCGATACAATTTAAAAGGCAGCGGGAGGGTTGGCGGGGGTGGCTTCCCCTATGGTGTTCGAAGAAGTGCATACATAAAGACATACCTGGACTACATAGACTAAACATGTCTTATTTTCCAGCGTTTTCTCGCGAAATTGGGCGCTCGAAAAAGTGATGATTCTGCAAGAAATCTAAAAGATAGCGGGGGGTTGCGGGGGAGGCGGCAGCCCCCACCATGCTGTTTGAAGAAGTGTTGATTCAAACAGTCTAAAAAGTAGCGGGTTGGGGGGGGGGGGGGGATGCCCACCATGATGTTCGAAGAAGTGATCATTCAAACAGGGAGGAACTGGTGATGCTGATGATGCGGGAAGCCAAATCCAAAAACCGATGAAAGCCACAAAAGCCACAAAGCCCGGAGAGGAACTGGGCAAAGCCAAACAGCCACCAAAAGCCGCATAAACCAACAAGAAGCCGAAAAGCCAAGAAGCCGAGAAGCCAAAAAGCCGAGAAGCCAAGCCAAAAGCGACCCCCCCCAAAAAAAAACAAACAAACAGAAATACAACTAAAATACATACCCCTTCAATAATAAATACGGACCCCCTAATAATAATTTTGGCTGAAGGGCAAACGATACTTATTCATAGGGTAATTTGGGGTCGGATGGGCTCCCCCAAAGGAAGCAGCAGGCAGGAGCACCCTGAAAAGGACTGCAGGACCTAACTACACCCGAATAAGTCTGGGGCTGGTCTGGGCAAGAAATCCGACAGTTTAATTTGTGTATTGGAGACCCTCGATCAATAGGCTGAATATCAAAGGAGAAAGCGATTCTGAGATTGCGGGACTCGCTTTGTTCAACCCAAATCTGTTGTCTTGGGTGTCCCCTAAGACACTGGATCCAAAGAAAGGCCTCTCTCACGTTGATTTATGCTCCATCGCTAGACCCGAATTCGTGCAATGTCAAGCGTATTGGAAATGGCAAGTCGTGATTGCAAAATAAGATTGCAAGCCACACCGTGTCATTCAAAATTGCAAACGTGCGCAAACGCCCTGAACAACTGTCTGGGAAAGGCAACCTTTTAATGACCCTTGATCCTCTTGACATGGCCCGCCAAAGAACGCCATACACAGTTGCCCTGTCTGCCAGTGACCCGAAATTCCGTTTTGCGCTGACCGTTTTCATGTGCTGCCTTGAGCCGACTAGAGCAGAACGCAACAAACAAAGGCCCCACCAGAAGAACCTTGGATGCTCAGCATGGAACTCAAAAAGGGTTCCCGGGAAGAAGAGTCCTCTAGAAATGGCGGGCGTTCTGGGTTCCATATGGATTAGGGGGGCAGGTTATCACCAGCCCTAGTGGGACAAAAGGGCCCTCGCCTACTTGAGTAGCATGAACAAAGGGACGCCCGCAAAGAAAGAGATCCGCCCGAAACGATCTGATTTGTGGTTCTTGCGATGGGTTTGTGCACGGGCACGGCAAAGGTGGGCCTGTTAAATTATCGCGAACTGAGGTAGGATTCCCTCCAAGCCTACTCACCAAAGGGAATGGGCAGCATTTGATACTCGTGAGTCACAATGGTCCATCTAGCTGAGGGCTTGATTTCGAGAAGGTGCAGAAAATGAGCGTCCTTTCCAAGAAGTAGCATTGTAAAAAGTTCGCAGTGGTGCCACAGGTAAATATCATGCTAAGGCCTTGAAAGCTTAGCTGGGGCCAAGCTGCTCTGGATCGAATCAGAACCCAAGCCTCATCTTAACCCCTGAATCAAACTGCCCAACTTCGGGTACTGTTCTTTCGAGTAATACAGTTGACTCAGAAGGGTCATGTGCTGTCTCAAATTCCCTCCCCCGCCCCACCCCTTAAAGAGAGTTGGTGACTTTCTCTTGGCTTGCACCTCAAATAGTGCACAATCAACACACAGCCTTACGAATCCTGAGTCAACAGTAACGTGCAATCCCTAAGCAAACATTTGAAAAAAGAAATGGGGCCATTCAAAGTGATCTTTCCACGGCTCCCGCCCCGCAATGGGGGCGACAACTTGCGCTTCCGGAGCGGACAGCTCGAGAGACCTGCCGACCAAAGCGGCGCCCAAGTTCTCCGAGGGTCGTAATGTACGACTTGCCCCGCGCCGGCAGGCCGACCATGCACAAAAGCACGCGACTGGACTGGCTGTACCTCCGGATGGGCGCTGGGATCAGGTGGAACTTGCTGGGGTCTTGGGATAAACGGGATGTATGCAGGCATATTTCAAACCTGCACGGGTCCCAAGAGGGCATGAGCTGTTTCGGGTTTAGGGGCGCATGGCTTGTGTTATTGCCTTGGTGGATCGCCTGGAACTTGGGCCTGCAGTTCGCTTGTTCATCTAGGTCCTCCAGTAGAGAGGCTACAATAAGGGTACCCGATTTTGTTTCTGTAGTCTATTTTAATAGGGGAAAACTCCCAACCAAAACAGGGTGAGAAAGGGCACTACTGGGGGACCTAGTCATGTACAATCATACACTTTCGGTGGCACATGTACCCTTGGAGAAGCTTTCGAAACGTCTTGGGTCCCTTCATTCTCCCAGCATCGCCTACCTCGTTGATAAAGATGTGCATACAACCAACATATAGCCCCGCTAGAACAAACGTATACATAAAACACATATACAAATATATACATATATACATATATACACGTATGCATATATGCACATTATATGTATGTCAAGCTAGACATGTACAAGCGTTGAGTCGTCACACCCGTTTTTACGCCAACTATCCTGCCGCCGTCCTCTGTTCGTTAGGTCCTCTCTCAAAACCGACATGTTCCGCGCATCGCAATCAGATTCTCGTGTGAAACAAAAGGTTGCGGGAGTGGGTTGCTTTTGACAGTCTTGGATCAATTTGTGCTTGATCGGGTTTCTGTGATTGGCTTGCGGCGGTCCTTCACACCCCGAGTACCTTGCAGGCAAGATCCATCCAGTACACATGCAAGCCTGCATCTCTAGAATCATCAGCTCCGTCGTCAGAATGACGGTGGCGCTTGTCGATGGCCACTTGATGTGGCTTTTCCAATGGCCTTTTATGGATCATGGTCGCTGTTGGGTCAATAGGAACCATCAAAATTATTGTCTAAGAACACCATCAAGGGGTTGATAACCATCCCTGCCATCCCCAAGTAAAGGGGTCTTATAACCATGGCACACATGAGCCCCCAAGTAATCCTCTCACAGTCGAGCCTAGAATTGGCCTCAAGGTGGCACCAAGAATAGCCCGCACGAAGACGACTCTTTTCGCCGCAAAGTTTGCTATAGTTGCAGCACACCGCCTTTCCTGAATCAATGTTTGATTTTGCGTGCAGGAAGGCTTAAAACTGTAAGATCGTAACCGCGAATTTCGGAACGTTGTGATCCGCGTGCAACTGTGCAAGACTTGTGCAAGGGCTCGGTACAAAGCCGCCAAATAAATTCAGTGATTTAGTCCTCAGGAATCACATGATGCTCGGGCACCATGCCGAAAGGAACACACGCAGTCTGTGCTAGAGGTAAGCTAAACGCTCCTGACAGAATCCATTGCTGCAATCCATTCCTGCCGCAGCTAGCCTGGTGCTTTTTGATGACCTGCTCGAACCTACATTCATTCTGCTCAGAAGGCCCATGTAAAAAGCTTGTCACCATCTTCATCATCTGATGGGTCCTGCGCAGCCACCGGGGCAATCTCCAGTGAAAGGTCTGCGGGTCCAGCATCCTCATTGTCCGCTGGGCCATCACTCTCTGCCAGTCCGCTCCCCTTGCATCTGTCGAGGATGGGGGAATAGAGCAAAACAACCACTGCCAATACCAGCAGAAATGGCACAAAAGGAAGCATACTGTTTTGTGGAGTCAACACGTCGACCAGGTGAATTGGGGCCCAGTTGGTTGCAATTGCAAGAACAATGACTGGGCTGATCCACAGTGATGCATACACGCTGCCGACTAGCTGCCACAGGCCGATGGAGATTGGATAGGCGAGCAGGATACACAAAGCAGGTTGGAGCCATATGATGATTGTCTTCGTACACCAAACCGCCAGATCGAAGCCTGAAAGAGAATCCCTAGGCCCCTTGTTCAAGCGTGACATGAGCTCTGAAAGGTAGGGCACAACGCTCGCAACGCAGACCGACATGATGTGCTTGAAAGGGGCCTTCAATGTCGCTCGACGGATGATCTTTTTGGCAACAGCTGCGCGAACGCGATGGTTGAAGCTTTCCAAGGCGTTCTCGGGGTCGTTTGGCATCGAGCCATACATCTGGGCCAAGGTCTGGTAGACCAACTCCCGATCACAGGCCAGTTCTTGTTTGCTTCCTGGGTCTTGGTGCTTGTTCACGCAGCAGAAGCACTGCGTCTCCTGCACCCGGAAGTTCCGCAACTGACCGGGAAGTTGTTTCACCTGTTGCGCAAGGCTTATGCCCAAATAGTTCAGAAATACTAAGAGGGACGCTGAGGAGGCCGACATGAAGATCGTAATAGCGATCCAGTGATGTGGCGTGGATGGCTTCAGCATGGAGACGCTGATGAAGAACGCACACATCATGATGTGCCACAAGATCGAAGTCAAGAACAGCACGTAGCTCCCATTCACCGATATGAATTCCACCTTGCCTTTGTACACGCTGCTCAAAAAGCAAGCAACCTCAAAGCTGCACCACAAGCGATTGAAGTATTCGGGCGACCACAATACCAACACCTGCTTCGATCGCATCACGAAGGCTCCAAGTCCGAGAATACCTTGCTTCTTTGCTTCGGAATCAAACTGATTGATGCACAGCTTGTCGAAGAATACCATGAAGGGTCGAGAAAAAAGGATCCGAATCCTCTGCCAGAAGCAAAATACCCCGACATACCTGGGCTGTCTCTACCCCTGCTAAAAGTGACTAGCGTTTAGCGGACCAAACATCGAAACCCAAGCACTAAACCCATTTTCCAAACAGCAACAAAACTAAACTGCTGCCTATTTTTCCTCCTGGAATCCTAACAGCAACCCGGGAATCTAAACCCATCTTTCCAAATTGAACCGGATTGGCTGGGACTCACCAAGGTACGAGAGGAAGGAGAAGGACACAGTCCACAGCTCATCTGGCAACCTGCCGCAGATTCGCAGCAGGCCCACGGCAAAGCTGACGATCAAAGAAGTCAAGGCAGCCGGCGTGGAGTTGAAGAAGATCAGCAAAGCGATCAGCTTCAGGAATCGAGAGGTTCTCCAGTCATGGCTCCTCCGTTCAGTGACCCTGGGAAAAAATGGAACCAACTTTTTGGGGAAGACCGGATTTTCGCGCCGGGCACATAGCCACCCGCACGTTTTTGTGCATGTCCTCGGCGCTCATGACAAGAATGCGTGTTTCTGGAGTTGTGGGACATCCCGGCAACTAACTCACGCTAGCTGACTCTCAGGTCGACATGTGCAGTTTTGGACCAAGTCAGCACACATGGCACTTGGCGGATGTGCTAATCATGTGCCAGCGTGCGTGCAGCTCTGACGTGGTGCGAGTGAGCGTGACGTGACGCGCGTGAGAAGGTGTGCATATCATGCGGCAACTGGCGCGCAGCTCTGACGTGATGTACGTGACAGGAAGTGCTTGTCATGTCCCAGCATGCGTCAGTTTTGACGTGCTGCGCGTGAGCGGGTGTGCGTGTCAGGTTTCAACGAGCGTGCAGCTGTGACGTGATGCGCGTGAGCGGGTGTGCTTACACGAGCGTGCTCTGACGTGATGAGCGCGACAGGGTGTGCTTATCATGCGCCAGCGTGCGTGCAGCTCGGACGTGATGCGCGTGAGCGGGAGTGCTAGCGTGCGTTTAGCTCTGACGCGATGCGCGTGAGCGAGCAGGTGTTCAGGGGTGCACTCGGACATGCGGGTGGGTAAATACCCGGTATTTTAGTGGGGCAGCCACCAAAACAAAAAGGGAAAAAGGGAGCCACTGAACAGCTGAGGCTCAGAAAGTCATCAAAGTATTCCACTGCCTTGCTGACCTCGCTCATGTCAGCGAAAAGCGCTTCCTGGGAACTGCGCCAATGCCGGCCCCACCCACCGAGAGCCACATGCAGTGGAGCGCCACGTGTCAGTTCCTTCCCGATGTCCTCTGGGTCGATGGATAGACTCAGCGAGCTGATCGACGTCGAGCTGCTCCTTCTCTCGGACTGCCACTCGGCATACTGGGGATCAGACATGGGATGCTTCGTCCGCCTTTGCGGGCACCCCTCAAGGCTGATCTGAGCCCAGTAGCTGTGTCAATCATACGTCATCCAGCCTTTTGGATCACAGCACAAAAAATACCCGCTAGCTATTTAGGGACTGCATCGTCCATGCGTTTTGAGAGGTTAGACAGGGTACTCTTTCTCTCGTTCCAGTGCCTTATGTCCGCGGCCAATCGCACGGACACCCAAACCAAGTTTGAACGCCGGGGACGTTCGTTTGGTTTGGACTTTACTTCATTTGTGTTTTCGTGGTGCATTCCTTTTCGATGTTGCTTCCTTACTTGTTTTGCTTTTGATCTTTATTTTATACTCCTGTGATCTCATTGGTTGCGCCGGTTGGGACTCGCCCGCTCGCTTGAGTGGAGCTCTTCAGCTCACGAAGGCCGGGCCACCCAGCCCACCCCACAGCCCCCGGAGGCACCCCCCAAGGCCATAGACCTTGGCCGTGTCACCTGCCGGGTGCTGAAGAGCGGGCGCCGGCGAGAAAACCGGGGCCGGAAGCAGTTCGATTGACCAGTTTGGGAGAAAATCAACCTAGCGAAACGATCTTTGGGAAGAAAGCGGCCGAAATCTTGACAAATATTTTCCCATACTTTCCCAAGCACATTCCTCAAACTGAAAGTGGATGGATGGCCCAATTGCAGGTATGGGGAGAATACGATTGGCATGACTAAAACCATTGTGCCATCGAGTTCCATGAGTACAAGAGACCAAGAATACAAGGTGACCTTGTGGGTTGCCTTGACGGATGAAGCAAACCAAAACTTGTTTTCGCTGAACCCGGGGAGTGAAAGGTTCTGATTGGTCTTTAACTCGTTGGGGAATCATTCAAACCCCATTGTGAAGGAACCGCCTTCACAATGAGGCAACAGTTGAGCAAGTTGAAGATCTCCTTGCCTGGTTGCCGTTGCCTCTGCGCAAAGTGCTGAACTTTTTTTGGCTATGGACAATCCGATCTGTTTTCCAAGGGACAAAGCCGCGGCACTTCGGGGCGTCGATTGAAGCCGACACCTCCTGGGCTTGCCGTTGCCAGTTGCCAGTTGGCAGGTGGTGTATGGGGCATGGGGGTTCATCCATCCCAGGACTTGGACAGAGCCGTGGGCCCCGAAATCCATCGTTTGCCGCAGATCGCGGGCCGATGGGCCCAGCTTTACTGATAACTTCTCCATCTTGTCGCGGACAAGGATGCGCTCAAGTCGCAAGCGCAAAGCTCCTGAATTGGTAGACTTGAAAGGTAAAGATCTCAAAAAAACAAACAACGACAAAGGGCACCATTGGTGTTGAGTGGTTGTTTAATACTTCATATTTGTGTTATTAAAAGTGCAGGACCTCAATGCCAAGGGTTCCCTCCTGACACCCTCTGCCACGCTAAGGGGCCCAGCTGTGGATGCAAAACAGCGCTCGGGACAAACCACCTACCAACAATGCACGCTGCCCGTCCGCAGCAAATTCTCTGGTCAAAACTCGACCCACATCTGGGGTACAACAAAAGAGCGCATACTTTCAGGCTGTGGTCCATATATACCCTGAAGTCACTAGCCTCCCGCCAATTCAACCTGACAGGGGAGTCCTACCAGGTTTTCACCAGGAATCGCCCTCCATTTTTGTTGAACCAAATCGACATCAAAAAGGACCCCTGTGCCCCCCATCTAGGAGGGTGAATCCGGAAGAACCCCGCCAACCAAATCGTAACCAAGCGGGACACCTATGCCTCCCCCAACCATCGTCCGCTCTTCGGCCGAGTTCCCCGCTGTCGTTGGAGGTCACACTGTCCCCGTCCCGGAGCCGGAAGTTGCCGCGGAACTCGGCAGCACGGGCGGCTGGACGGCCGGCAGCAGACGACCGTGTGCTTTGCAAACGCCCCGAAACGGCTGGGGTGGGTTCTGTATCGAGTAAACACAACCCTCCTGCGAAGTCGGGTTTTAGCATATGACTAGCTCTAGACTTACCACAGTTATCCATGTAGCAGTGACCATGAAATGGACTACGGCTGCTTGGATGAAGCGGCTACTTTGGTATATGCCCGTGGATGTGAAAATAGATCGCACAGTTCCGCCTGGTTGGCTTAGTCATCCCCTTTACGGACAGACTGCTGGAATGCTGGCTGGAGTACATGGGTTAGGACTCCACTCATACATCTCAACCCCAAGTGAGCAGGTCTTTTGAACATGACTAATCCTTTGTTGGAAAGCACCCCTCAAGGCCGTTTCGAACCCAAGATCCAAAGAAAAGGCAGCTGAATATGTATTTGGCGAATCTTGAGGCCATGGAGGGACTACCGGGCATGGCGCGCGACCAAAGTTGGTCGCCCATGAGTCCAAGGATCCGCGCCCAGAGCCAGTCGACCGGAGTTAACCGTTCTTTTGGGGGGGAGGGGGGGGGGGGGTTCTGTTGGGTGTTTACTTTCAGCTTGTGCCCGAAAAGGTCGACGTTATATTTCCATTCAAGTAAGTTTGTGTGCCATTCTATGGGCCATGTGTGCGGGGGTACTCTTTGGGCCCACAAGATATTGCAAGGGTTAGCCTTTTGTGACCTTGACAAAATATGGACCATAGCAGGAAAACCAAGAAGTGAGAAGGTCAGCTTCGGGCATCTGAGGCATTAAATGGCAGGGGGACCACAGGCCTTCCCGCACGCACTTGGCACCCAGGTCGCAGCTGCTGGCAAGATCCTAGCTTGGGGGAGTGGGGCGGGTCCCCCAATCCCAGCTGTTTGGCGTTTTATCGGACAGTGGAACCATACCTGGAGATCTGCAGGGTCACCCCCCCCGCCTCAAAGCATTACATGTGGGCGCGCGGGGATGCTGCAACCCATTTCTCCCTTTCACCGAGGTGCCGTGGGTGATCGGGGCGGTGTGCCTCCCATGCACTTTGACTCGAGAACCAAACTTCGCGGCCGCTCCAACTTAGCTTGGCCCATATCTGGCGTACGCAGAACATATGTCCCGGGTGAGTATCTGCTTCGATTCTGCTCGACTCTCGCCCTCGACCTTGTTAAGACTCCCCCAAACAATTGGAAGGCAACGGATGGAAAAGAACTCCCTCCGAAGAAAACAAGAAAAGAAGCTTTGAGGAACACCACCCACCTTTCTATCGCGTACAGGCTAAACTAAGGGCCGTCTGCAACTTCTCAATCGTTCTTAACCCTAAATTCGCTTTGGGCGAGACTTTTACTGTGATTTCGACACCTAAAGGAAGAGTTGGATTTCCAGGGGAAGGACCTATATATGCTTCTCGTTCTACCCCGAAAAAGGCAGACCCGCCCGGAAACCCAGCATCCAGGCGGATCCAAGAAGCAGCTGGGGAAGTCCCATCCTTTTCCCGGCAGAAACTCTGCGATGGGAGCTGCGTGGTTTCATAGAATCGGTTGTGCGGTTCCTTCTCTTGAGGGCACCCGTTTGCGGTTCTGTTGATGGGAAAATGGGTGACGAACCGCTGTGGGTCAAACAAATGGAGACCAAACAATGGCACGTTGGCAAATGGAACCAAAGACCAAAACCTGCGTAACTCCAGTTGTTTTGTTTTGAGCCACACCCAAACAAACAACAACCCATATGAGCGATTCTTCCCAGGATGCTTGAAAGGAAGTAGCCCAGGAAAAGAAACTTATTCTGGAAGTGGTGTCGCAAGCCCTCGGCAGGTGAAGGTCGCATTGCACAGAATTCCAACATATTGCGCTCTAAGCCACCCCTCTTCGGGTTTCCAATGGTGTTTTCATGGTAACAGCTCATGGAATACCAACCCCTCACCAGCCCCATCCCGCTGCAACAAAGACAGGCTGCAGGCCCAACTCTCAGGGGCGTGCTTCCAAACCGTGAACCGGTTCTGCGATGCTTATTTTTAAAAACACCCAGAAGGGAGATGTTGTTGTCTGGGGCCGAATTGAATTGGCAACCATGGCAGGAGATGTTTAAACACCACCTTTGACACAGCTCCGAGTCAAATCATATTTTCAACCAAAGGGGACTGCCTACAATCCAATCAAGGGCATGTCCCTTCACAAATCTAAGACGCAGGGTTACTGTATTACTTTACAAGTTTCTATAGTGGATGTGCCAAACGACCTAAACATTTACGACACCGAAAGGAGAACTGCGCTTCAAAGATTGGCACCCTTTTCAAGTTGGTCTAAACAAAAGCCTCAAGGAAAACCAAAGCACATTTGAGTCTCAATCAAGCCCTGGTGTTTAAATGGACCCAGAACCATGTAAACATTTAAACCAACTGCACCCATTTGCGGTTGAGAGTAGCCCTAACCTTATCTACCCGAGTCTTGATCGCTCGTTTTGGCTCGGGGCCCTTGCCCCAGCCTCCGGTGACTTGCCGCGCCAGGCGTAGCGATCCCTCCTCGAGACCGAAGCGAAGCGGTCGAACCGCTTCGGCTTGGCTTCGGAGAGAGCATGAATGACCATACGCGAGTTCAAAAATCTGCAACTCAAATCGGAAAAAAACAAGGCTCTCAAGTCTTCTCCCTCCGGCTTGTTACCAGTTTGCAAACTCTACATTTCGGTTCACCAGCCAATATTCCGCAAAGCCAAGGATTCGACTCCAGCTCAAGGACCCTCATGAACATGGCTTTCGCCCCGATTCCCCCGAATTGAGGAGCTCACATTTCTCTTTGCTCCCTGCTGAAGATGAACCAATGGCCAAACTCTCGGGCACTAATCAGATGATACATCATAGGCTGGTGAAACGTCCAATATCCTTGGCGGAGCCACAAACACACAAACAGAGAGCTCGTGGTCGCCTGGTGCTTTCCTAAAGCAGGCTCAACATCAAACTCAGCCGCTTCAGCCTGTCGTTTCTCAGAAAGGTATAGCCTAGCCAGAAATCCTCCATTCCTGAATGGAATCTCTCCATGAAAAGAAGAGACAACAGTGGCGAAAGGACCAACTTTTCTTTGTTTTCGTTTGGGTGGTTCATGTTTGGGGCTGCGAATCGGTGAGCCCTCCGAACCCTGGGGGTTTTTCGGCA